CTGTTTGTGCGAGCAAGGAGGCTAGATGATTACCCCCGAAGCCCTCGCTATGAGGCCGATCGGGGTAGAGGCGACTCCCGCAGCCGATGGGAGAGGGACGACAGATACGAGAGATCGGACCGAGATGGATATAGGGACGACAGATACGAGAGGTCGGATCGAGATGGCTACAGAGGAAGTAGATATGAGAGAGGAGATCGGGACTGGGAACCACAAGATGGGTCACGCGGACGGTTTGAGCGCGGGGGAGATGCGAGAGAGCAGCGCAACGAGACGCGAGGATGGTACAACCGAGGGGACCGACGCGATGAGTCACGAGGACGATATGACTCGGGGGACCGCCGGGATGATTCGCGAGGGCGCTATGACCAAGGAGGGTTTGGAGGAGACCGGCGCAACGATCCACGCGGTCGGAATGAGAGAGGGGGATATGGCGTCTCATCAGAACCATATCCCAAGTCGCCTGACCCCAAGGCGGCCAGGAATTCGATGTCTAGAGGCACARACGACAGGGCGTCTACTCCCAGGAACTCATGCGTCTACTGTAGAGGAGAAGATCATATCAAGAGGGATTGCCCGGACCTCAAATGGGCAATAGAAGAGGGACTTGTCGTGCTCGACGAACGCAAGTACGTCAAGGGGGCAGATGATCTCGGAGATGTATCGATGTTCCCTTCGATAAAGGAGAATGTCAAAGCAAGGAGAATAAAGACGAGTAAAGGAATGGAGCCGTTCAGGAGCCAGAGCATCAAGATAACCTTTGAGGGGGACATAGCGACCACACCCATAAGGGTGGCAGCCACCAAGTCGGCGAGAGGGCCTACATCGAAGAAAACTAACACGGATTACGTGATGGCGGAGAAGGACGGGCAGCGGGTCGATGGAGAGGAGGTTATCCTTTCGACACGAAAGCGGGGAGTGAAGAAGTTCTTAATGAAGAGTTCGCTGGACGAGATTGACACCCCATGCAGTGCTGTATTCTGGAGTACCTGGCGGCATCGAAGCCAGCTCGTGATGAGTTACAGATGATCACGCGGAAGACTCGCATACCTCTATCGAAGGAGGGTCAGGGGGCCCCTAAGGCGGAAGCTTCTTCAGTAGCAGTAACGGGGATGACTGCCAGAGCGGATCGTATGGCGACAGTCCTTCTCGATGGAATGGAAGGTGTGCCTCCAGACAAGTTTTATATACTTGGTAGCGGGGCCGTGGAGACGATTATAAACGATGGAGCGGTACTCGATGCTGTGATTGATAACGGCAGTGAGGCTGTCATCATAGACGAGGACCTGGCGGTACAACTTGGACTGGGCCTCGATAGGTCATACCTATTCGAGATAGAGACGGCCGATGGGAGACAACAACAGATCATTGGGGTTTGTCACAATGCAGCCATAGAAGTCCAAGGGGTACGAGTGACCCTGCCAGTCTTTGCAGTCAACAACTGCAACTCCGACCTGCTCTTGGGTCGAACGTGGCTGAGCCACGTGCATGCGGTGACGATAGAGCGACCTGATGGGAGCCAAACATTGTCCATTAAGAAGCCAGACGGGACGCGGGTAATGATTGAGACAGTGGAGCCTCGGGACCCGAGGAACAGAGCAGCTCTCGTTGTGGGTGCAAGACCAAGTGATCAGATTAAGTCGTTGCCTATCTCCAGCCGCACGGTGCGATTTCGCGAGAAGAAATATGGACCACTGCTCACAGAAGAAGAAGGTCAGATGGTG